CATTGGTTAATTTTGTAACTTATAGTTATTTTTCTAGCGACATCTTCAATGAAATATCAACCTCGTAAACTTAGCAGAATTAGTTAATGTGGGTAGTACCAGCGGCGTCAGCGCGATTTAGACTCAACTCTGATAATTTTCTAAGAATTCAAAAATATTCATCTATTGAGAAGTAAAAAAAAATCAACAAAAAGAACCGGAGTGAACCACGGTTAACAGTCGGCTGTAATAACATGGGTGTTGTTTTTGCTTGATTCAACTGTTTTAATGCGTTAAAATGAGCTAAAATCAACGAAAATCAAATGTAAGTAACAATGTTTATCCGTTATTTTGTCTGTCGAGGAAAAAAGAGACGGAAAAATCCGCAAAAAAGACGTTGCGAAATAAAGAAACGATGTAGAATACAACAAAGAAATCCTCACCTATATTTCTCTTTTACTTGTTACTCTTATCTTTTCCGAGAGAATGATTTATATCGCAGAATATACATTGGACAAAACAATTTAATTCGATTGTCTGTCGATCCAAACCAGTCAGAAAATAGCAAATCATAGAATTCGCAATGGATACTTCTCTAGTTTTAAGGCGCAGTGTGTACATACGAATAGAACAAAAAGAAATCTTGATTGACGAAAAATTGACCATTACGTATAAAAAAAAGCATTAAGCGAGCGACTAAATTAATATATCACTTGTTAAAGATGACAGTAGTGTACTGCTCTCATCTTTAAGAAGTGATATATTAGTACAGACTCACACGGAAAAAAGCATAGTGAAATAAGACAAACAAAAATGGCGTACAGTGATTGGTGTTGTCGGTTTTGGGAGGGATCACATATAAATTGGACATCGACAGATAGAAAAAATTATTCTCTGTCAGATGGTATTTTTGGTTTTCTATAAAAAAGTAGTGTTAAAAAGGTACTGCAGATGACGCTATTGTCTTTACACGATTGGTTGAACACATCTCAACGTTAAGTCATTTCACATGATTTCTCTAAGAAATATTTCTCATTATTTAGATAAATTCGAACCCACATAAAAAGTATATTTACTTTTCAGAAAATTTCTCTTTGATATATGAATGAACTTCTAAGATGGCATGCACGTTTTCTCTTCGTGATATGTTTATTTTGAAAATTTAGAATATGAATCAGTTTCCGAAATAATAGAAATGCTTTGCTATTGAAATAATTTACTTAATACAAAAGTTTAAAACTAGTCAAGACTTTCAGTAGCTGTAGAAAACAATTAAAATAAACGAACAGATTGACAAAAAGATAAGATACATTGTAGAAAAAAATTTTTTTCATAAAACAAATTGAGGCTTATAGAGACTTTAGAAAAAAAGAATAAATTATCTATGTTAATGGAAAAAATAGCTTTCACAATAAAATTTAACTCAAATAAGACCATAGAATAAAACGACAGAGCATCAAACGAGAAATATTGAAAACAAAAATTTAATTAAGATTAGATTGACTTTGAACTTTTGTCACGCCAAAATACAGTGTTTTTTCTGTTTTGTTCATATTTACACACTGTACCTTAAAACTAGAGAAGTGCCTAGCAATGTAATACAAATGTGTTATCATTATGTAGAAAATTTGGCCAAAAGATAACTGATGATGGAAAATCACACTCAACTAACTATTGGTGTTACTTGCCAGCAAAAGTACGAGCGATAGTTAATATAACAGTTAGTACACATTATGGTCTGTTGGAAAATTTGATAAAACGGTGAAGGAGAATGCTCGAGTGAGGATGTGAGACAGGCTACCAATATACTACGCTAGTGTGTTACTTTTCCAGATAAACAGAAATATAGATTTTTAAAATGTATAATTGTGTAAATTGATTAGCAATTATTTTGCTGTGTGTCGACAACAGTAAAGTCTTCATTAGTATAAAAGTAATCTCACATGACGATGACATAATTTTGTATTGATGAGTATATGTAAAATTAGAACTTTGGGAAGGAAAGAATAAGAAATGGATGAATAATAGAAACAAGCGATATGAGATAGAGTTAAGAGGGGTATTGCCTATATAGTGAGTTAGATTTGAACTTTGTGATTCAAAGATAGACCAAAAACTGTTTTTGTTGTGCATCATATTTAGTACATTGAATTTGATTTGTTGCACGATTTTCAATAAGATCGATAGTATTGTTCGGAATAATAATGTGTTTACTTTTATCTGCATTTTGGACAATGTCGTTTTATCATCAATTACTGTTTGATTATAAATGAGACGATTGCTCAGTTAATATTAAAGTTTGTGTAGATAAATCAAAATATATGTATCTTGAGTATTTATCCTATCAGTTCAGAAAAGATTTGCTGTTATTCGTTGCTCATTAAAAGCTAATTGTACAAATATTTCATTAAACTTTGTGGGTGCCAAATCTTATAAAGTAAAATTCGTTAATGATGATTCTGGGTGTGGATGTGAGTGTGGTCTGGAGTTAGTTAAAGTGTGCACTCACACCCATATCCACACCCTCACGTCACTCTCCATTCCATTCATAGCAAATTCTCCAAGATCTATCAATTATTATTAACTTTCTCAACTTCGAATTAATTTTCATACCATCATCAGAAGTTTCAGAATGAAAGTATGAACCTTGTAGCAAAACTGCATACCATCATAAATGTTTCTGTTAGTCACAGCACATTCAGGCATTGTCTCAAAACAGAACATATAGGTATCAGTAGTTTTTATTGGATGTTTTAGCAGTCTCTAGTAGCTCGAATGAAGAGCTTTCGAATGATATATAATTCAGAATGGTGGACCTTCTCTATTGCCTATAATTGCACATGCTAATATCAGGAGTCCTGTAATAATGGTCATATTATGTGTAGTGGACTACTGGTAAGGTCCTATCGACTTATAATTGTCAATGATTTTTTTTTAAATTTTTTATTATCATTTTGTAGCACTATTAAAAAGTTTTCGAATGATAGACAAGTTGGCCTCATGGTCTATGTTCATTGCCCACAATAGGGAATTGACTCCGATAAGTGATAGCGTCTTATATGAGTATATGACCATAAAGTATAAATGGAACCGTAACCAGTCAAATCACATTCTATCAATCTAATTTCTGTAGTAAAAATTTTCTAAGGTCTAGTGTGACTATTTTGTAAGAAAAAATTGAGAATTTTCGAGTGGGCCGATTTCATTGTTTATCGACTTCCCTCCGTTATCTTTTTCAAATTCTGGATGCAATGATAAACAACGTAATAAATTTTGCCATTTACCAACTGCTGATATTACATTAGAAGAAAAAAATTTTTTTCAAGGGACATGGACAACGAATTGTTTAATAATAAGAAAAAAGATTTCAGATATATTATTCAAATCATCAGGATTAGATTCATTCTTAAAACATGAATATAATCAGACAAATAAAAAAAGATATATGTGAAGAAATTTCACGTAATACAATTACCATCATTGCATCAGAACCATTAATGATGGATGGGTATTTAGAAGCAATTTTTACTTCTTTAAATTTAAATTTAAATTTAAAACACAAGACATCTTTTAAAAGCAACAACTACTGTATTATTTGCTAAAAATAAAATTTAGACTCAACTGGCATATAATATCATCAAATTTTTACGATTTAGAGCCTTTGTATCCCTTATGTAATCATTTGGCCATACTTTGTCGTCCTGTGACGTCTATAAAAGTATTTCGTTCAAAAGAAGCCCAATTTTCGTAAAAACCATATTATTCTTCTGTTCACTTCAATTTTTTTCATTATCATACTGTGAAGAAATATTATTTCACAAAGCTAAAAATCTGCAATAGTAAATAAACTTTTTACTCATATATCTGAGTTGTCTGTTTGTTTATTGACTAAAAATTTTGTCTATGTTTATATTTGGTTTATGAAGTAAATATACAGTACTTTTTCTAGCGTAAGTTAATGTTTATTCAACAGAATGATTCTTCCCAATATTTATATTTGCTAGAAGTTGAAGATCGAGTTATTCTAATGCAGAAGTATAGGCAGTATGTGAGTGTGGAGTGTGTACTTTTTGTCTCATTCACATGCAAACCCATACCTACACCCACAATTTTTTTTTCTCAATGAATGTCGTACTAAAAGCTTTATAACTATGTCTAAATTTCAAGTCTAAAATAAATCTTACTGAGGAATGGTTTTTATTTTCCGATAAAATTATAATTATTCTTCCCGTACAGATTTCGTATTTAATTCATTTCTGTGTTTTTATTTTCATCTACGACAAAACGTTTTCCAAGTATAATTATCTCTACTTAATGGCTTTTTTCCAGTTCCATCAATTACAATAAATATGAGACTAAAAGCTCAATGTTAAAGATACAAAAATAACACAACAAAAAAGATGTTAGTATTTTATTAAACCACCGTGTATATATATAGAAAAAAAAGTTTAGTTCTTTATTCTTCATGTTTATTGATTAATTATTTCTTTTTCGTTCTATTAGTGTTATTTATATTAGTATTTTGTGTTGGCAAAGATTTGACTTCAATTGTTGTTCTTTCAGCAAGACTTTGATGAAATAATTCTTTTAATTTTTGTCTACTAATTGAAAAATCCGTTTGGAAAAATAACATTACCATAAGATTCTTTTCCAAATTGTATTTGAAGATTAACTTTATCATTAATTTTACCTTGATCGTCAAATTTAAATGAATGTGTTTCTTCGACAAATTTTTTTTCATGTGATTATATTGAATCGAAAAATCTGTCTTTGTCTTTTGGTTTAGTAAAACTACGATCAAAAAAATTACATTTTCTGTCATGTCCAAAGACTACCTTTTTCTAAGGTTTGTCCTTCTTTTCCCATCTCATCAATATTAACTGCATCAATAAATTTATCCATAATCGTTTTTAATTTTCCTGTTGCTTCAGAAAGTCTTGTATTTTCATAACTTTAAATTTCAAATTGTGAAGAATTATTGTTTCGATTAGTACCTCCAATATAAAGTAAACCTTTTGATTTTAAACAAGTATTTCATAAGCAGGCATCATTTTAAGATAATAATCAGCATTATGTCTCATATGATTAGCTGCACGTTGTCTCAATTCATTTGATGATATATTTGTTTGTGCACTTATAGCATCATATAAACAATTTTTAGGACCAGCAGGATTAAGAATAATATGATTATTTTGAATATCAAAATGTTCAACACCTCCATTTTTATTTTCTTGATAATTTATTTTTAGGGTGTGTGGATCTGGGTCTGAGTCTGGATGTGCATATAAAAGCAGAGCAGACCAACACCCACGCCTACATCCGCCCACCCTTGATTCGCGTCGGCTGTAGTTAATATTCGAATTGTGGAGCGTGAGGATGAATGACACTCACTAGATTCTTGACTCGTATGAATTGAAATATTTTTATCATCCAATGTTTCGATGAAGTGCCTGGCTCTTTTTTTTCGAATGTTCTTTTTAGGTACTTTCCTAGAATGAATGAATGGTCGAATTTTTTGTTCTACACATAACAACAATAGCAATTATGAATAAAAATGATGAAGATAAGAATCGTTTGCACTATTCTTGTCTGTGTTTTTTCGATTATTTCGATGTTAATGAACATAAACAAGAGAACAAGAAAGTTCTAATGAAGAACCGTTATTTTTCTTTCCTATGAGCTCTTTTGGTCATCTGACTATCTTCGTGTACATGAACGTATAGTAATATGAAATATGTGATCCGACGTATTCATTATAGACTGGCTATAAATTCTCTTCAAATAGTTTTTATCTTACTTCAGCTTACATGAGAGAAATGTCCTCCTTGACTTTCTTTTTCCACCGGAACTTTTTCTCTGAATTATTTCTTGTTCTTAATGATTCGTTCTTTTCTACACAGAAGACAGAGTACAGCGAGAAAAATAATCAATCTTCTTGATGAAACATAAGAAAAGTTTATTACTGATCAATAAACAAGAATCTATGTCTCAATAGAAGTTTATTGTAGATGAAATAGCGCCATGCTATTGATATGCGCTGAAAATGATGACGGAAGAAGTATCCATAACAAAATCGAGCCCGAACACGAGCTACTCGGTTTAGAGTCGGGCTCGGTACATCTCTCAAAAAGGAGATAATTAATCATTTTTAAAACATGCATTACAAATTAGTGTTGTTTAGAGTGCACCCAGTTTGGATTCGCAGTCTGATTGGTTCGTTTTGTTGATATGAAATGAATCGAATTTCTTTGCTTGATATGTTTAGTTCACTTTCTACAATTCTAAAATGCTAATGTAATTGCTCTACATTTATGAATCTTTTTATTTTGTTCATTACAGAAAGAATTGACAGTCGACATATGAATATAAACTGCATTTTTCGTAGGTCTCTTCGATACCACTAAAAGATGTTCTTAACAAGAAAATGAAGCATTATTTTAAAGTATACCCGCATCATACATGAAATTGAGTAATTGAAAGTTGCGACTCGTAGGGACGCTGACGAACAATTGCGAGCTATTTCCTACGTTTTATTTTAGAAAATCTCAATAGAAAATTGAAAAGTTCAGTCTTTCTACAAAATGATCGTCACAGGCAATATTTACTTATAACTAAAAGAAGAACAAAGTGGAAGAAGTTCATAATGTCTGTTCGTCACGTCTCTGTAAACGCACAATGATTTTTTTAGGTGAAATGACAAGAGTTTCTTCAAGTTCATCGATTGACTGACGTGTTGATTCACCACAATCGACAATCGAATAGACTTTAAGAAGTCGAACGAGTAGTTCTTTAATTTCCATCAGTGCAAATCGCATTCCAACACAAGTTCGCGGTCCAGCACCGAATGGAATCCAGGCAAGCGGATGCCGTTTTGTAGCAAATCGTTCTGGATAGAATGTATGTGGGTCAACCGGACCCCAGAGATCAGAATTAAAATGTAAAGTGTAAATATCGGCAAGGATGATCGTTCCAACCGGAATCGTACCGACGTTCTCAATATGAAACTCTTCACTGCTCTGTCGGTTGATAACGCTCTCTGTGATTGGATACATTCGAAGAGTTTCTCGAATGAACATATCTAAATACTCCATTTTCGAGATCAATTCATAGCTTAACATGTCCTGATCGACATTATGATCGAAGTGAGCATCGATATGCTCTTGTAATTTTCGTTGTTCATTTGGATGCGTGGCCAGAACATAAGTAATATAGGCAAGTGCTGCACTTGTCGTTTCATAGCCAGCGACCACTAAAGAATGTAAATGATAGAAGGAAAAGGATGGAGAAAAAAAGCAAAGTTACCTACTGAATAGATAAATATTTGCCACAATTTCATGCTGAGTAAGTTGTCGAACAAGTGGTGCCTCAATGTCCATATCAGCATTGGCAACGACAGACCCTAATCCATCCTTCAAGAGTCAAAATAGAGTAATGTTACATATCCGATAAAATATCTCCACTGGAAATCTGATTGAATGAAGTCCAAGATAATGACGTCGGAGAAGAAAAGTGAAAAGAATTGGATCAGCATGTAGTGTAGACTAGTCGAGTAAGCAACATATGACTTATGGATGATATAGACAGCAATGGAGTGTGTAGAACTGAATTAGAGAATTTTTGCTACCCAGGTACTACAGATCTATGGACAAATAACAAGTCATCTTGCTATGTCTTGCTCTACTCTTCAAATTGTCGTAACGTAATGAATAGCAGGGACAATGATGAAAAGATAGTCCAGTAGAACACAAAAACGGTGAATGATCGTTTGAATGGCTTTAATGACCTTTTCGCAAAAGGAAACAACACACTTCTCGGTACTTTGCCATAGATGGAACTGGTATCGCGACTGGTACTATTACCGGTCGTCAGAAGTTCAGATCAGTTTCATCTATAGATCCTGTGAAGGCTTCGAAAGACCGAGGAACTTATAGCGCTGCTGAGGTACCAAGTTCCGTGGAATTTCTTAGAGTTCTCATGGAGTTGTGCATAGTGAATATGCAATTTTGAAAAAGTTCCAATGGACTCTCTGAGATCCCGTAAGATCTCATGGAGCTCCAGTGTACCATAGAATCCACTATTTTTCCCCGACCTTTTCTCTTGTTTATGAACGCAAACGAAATTCTCAAATACTTAAAATATGAGAACTATAGAATATGACGGATCGATAGTTAAATCTGCTCCTGTCTACTCTCGTTTGCTCTCTATCGAATAGCTTAAGTATTGAGGTAGTTAGAGAACAAAACATTGTGAGTGATCTACTCCTGACAGTCATCGACAATGCTAGCTCGAAATCGAACTGAAGATAACTTCTTACATCAATAAAGTCGTCATCCGTGGCTGATTCGAGCATCAGTTTCAATAGATCCATTCGATTTGTATCACCTAATTCGGCGCGTTTCTTGATCAAGTGTTCTGCCTGTTTGTGAATCCATGTTACTGGATCATCGCTGATAAATCTTTGTGTTATTGGTAGATAATAGCGTAGCCAATATCGAATAGCATTATCGTATCGAAAGAGCCTAAACCAAAGCCATTTGAGTTCAGTCATCAGACTAAACAAAATTATCAGTTTGGTTACACGGCATTCCTTGGCTAACACCCGTTGTGATTGAACCAAATACGGATCATTGAGATTATTCTGCATATCTGTATCAAGACCCAATCCACACGACCAAATTGTGTCCATTGTAAAACGTTTAAAAAGAGCATAAATATCAAATGGTTGTTTGTGACGATGTTGTTCAGCTAATTTTTCCATAAAAATACCGATAGTTCGATTCATCAATGGAGCCATTTGTTTGAGTTTCAACAATGAAAATGCCGCCTTAATAACGAAACGTTGCCGTTTCCAACGGAGGCCTTCGCAAACGACTAAATGAGTACTTTTTCCATGGGGTTCATGGAATGGTACATAGCGGTGGGAATGAAAATTAGAGAATGATTTGATAAATACATCTTGTAGAATGTCAGGATCAGATACGACGAGCACAGGCGTATGTCCTTCGAAATAGCCGAATATACGTCCATACTTCTTGGTCCATGCTTGAATGTTTAATGAAAGACGTCCGGTTTTGAAAATTTCTAAGAGGTTGCCGAAAAAAAATCGTGGTGGTGGACCAGAAATACCAAGACGAGTGAAGAAGTTGTAGGCTCGATGAATGTGCCAACCATAGGAAACAATCAAAATGAGCACAACAGCAATGAGGATACTAGTGAGCATGATAACAGACTCTTTCTTTATTGTTGTTGTGATGTACAGTGTCGAATGCAACGACGTTGTTCTTACTTTTCTTTATACATCTAAAGCACATGTATTTATCTTTTTTATCAGACCAATCGTATTTTTCTCTCTTCACACAGCTTTTTTTTTAAGCACATGTGGTATCTCATAAAAAGTGGACTATAGTTATGCACTTCGCAATAGGTTCTCGCCTATTCACGAAAGAATTACGGATAATATCTTGTTCGCATAATTGAACCGCCGTTTTCTTTAAGTGTAGGGTGTGGGTGTGGGTGAAGAGAACACTCAAACCCACATCGGCACTGATAGCCACAACCACACCCCGCTATAAACCGGTATCAACTTTATATCAACTGATACCGATGTATACCGGTTACCGGTTAAGGCCAGTTGTTCCTATTCTACATGATTAAAAAATTCTATTAGAAGTTCTTGAATTCACTACTATGTTAGCCACTTATGAATGAGATTCGTGTCTTCTACTACTACTTAGGTCAGTCCAAAAGTAGTGACGAAAGTATATCAACTTCTTATAGAAAGCTCTGGGAAACTTCTTTTCTATACAGTCTGATAGAGAAAAGAAAGCTTTATTTATCTATGCTATTTGATCATACTTTAACTAATATCATGAGAATAAATTTTTGATAAGGCTTTCTTTGTCAATATTTTACTCGTTGTAAGTTGTACGTCGCAGTTTTCAATTCCTTATTAATTGTATTAAGAACAAAAATATGCCATAAGATACAGTGTTAAAGCTCTACAATCTACCGAGTAAAGCATATTGTAATTGTTTTGCAAACAATGAAAATTCTACTCGATCAGTTTTTACAACGGCCAAAGTTCGATCACTCAAAATTTTGTCCATTTTGAAAAAAAAAAGTGCAACTAGAAAATAAATGGTCTTATGGAAATTGTAGAGCTTTTCACACTGCATCTTATGGCATATTTTGGTTCTTAATACAATGTATTAGTGGACTAAAAAACAAATCCGTCTGACTCATTGTGAGCTAGTACAACGAGCAAAATGTTGACAAAAAAAGTCTTATCAAAAACTTATTATCATGATATTAGTTAAAGTATGATCAAATAGCATAGAAAAATAGACCTTTCTTTTCTCTATCAGACTGTATAGAAAAAAAGTTTCTCAAAGCTTTCTATAAGAAATTGATATACCTCCACCACTATTTTCGGACTGACCTAAGTAAAATTCTCAGTCAGATTTAAGCTTTTGATGAGTCATTCTGTTTGGCATGGCTTATTGTACGACTATTTAACGTCTTACAACCGCTGCAATCAAGACTATCGATTAGATATGCTGAGTAACTTCAATCAAGTTTTCTTGAGTTTACTCTCTAGCAATTAAAAAGCCTCATTTCTATTTCCCGTCATTTTTTGTTGTTAGTAATTACTATTGACTTTCAACTTTAATTTTATCAATAGTATAATAATGACGAAAGTTAAACTTACTTACGTATTGAATGATACTGAAGTGTGCGAGTTTATTTTGTATGTTTGCAAACGATTTTGCTTCGTATTTATTGTCGGCAAAATTACTTGTTTTTTTTTCTCCACGTGAACATATTTACGTGAATTAATGAAGCATGACATTTGTATGAAGTAGGCAATTTTTCTTCACAAGCATGCTCATCATCACATTTATTTCGTTCTTTCAATGTTCTTTTTTTTTGCTATGCTTCACGTTTCGTGTTGTTACTATGAGAAAATATACATTGTTATTTACAAGCACGAGCTCAGTGCAGTTAACCGTCGAAATTTACTTATGATGAATAAACGAAAAAAATGTTTTTAGTTTCTTATAAGATCTTTCGTATTAGAAAAAATGAGAAAATTTCTATTGAAATGATTATTTTCAAAATAGTTATCAAAAAAACTCATGAATTTGATTATTTCGAAAAAATCGCAATTATTCTGTTACTTTGATTAGCTTTGTATGATTTTCATTTTGTAATATTCCAAGAATTTCATTATTACCAGAAAATTAGATTTCATCTCTTACTTAAATTATTTTGTTACCATTTTCATCTTATGAATTTGATCATTTCTGAAACATCAAAATCATTGTAATATTTTCATTCTATGACTTGCATTTTTACACGATTCTAGGTGAATGAACTTGCTTTTTATTTTCTTGAAAGAATATTATAGTCTACCACAGAGCTAAATGGTCGTAGGCGTTTTTGAATACCTTAAAAAGAAAAAGAGAGAAAAAAAGAATCTCTGGTTTTAAGACTATCTAGAATCAACACTACTCTATTCTCTCATAAAGTCAATTAAAAGTTCTACGCGCTGTTCTTCTTGGACACATCATGTGTTTCGAAGATAAGCCTAATCGACGTCAAAAAGAAAGCGCTTTCTCAGCTATAATATAATGGACACATAGCCTATTTTTTCCTCTATCGACCTACAAAAGCCTGAGAGCCATAATAGTTTGCAATATAAAAATACCAAGATTTTACGTAAGACTATTAACCAATATTTTTTCAAAATTTCAGCAGCAAATCGATCATTTCTTCTGTAAGCTCTTATTCGCTTTCAACTTGTTAACAAGATTTATTGCCCTTCGGAACTTTTCTACCAAGAACGTTATCAAAAACCACACATTGTATTTATCTTGATAATAATACGGGTGTGGGCATGGTGTATCAATGGGTATGGAATTGAGCATGAGTATGGGTGTACGTGCTAAGAGAATGTCCACTGACACACGCCATGCCCTTATGCTCACATCCACACCCTTCTATTTAATAATATGAAGTTCTCAGATACTCTTACAAAACAACAAACACTATTAGATTCAATATCCTACACAAGTCTTTTTTCGAGGTACAAAAAAAGAATAATATATAAGACTATTTCGTAAATCTATACCATTTTGTTTTCATTATTTTTGACTCTTCATCATCCAGACGCATTGCTCTTTTATGGACATTTGCCACTGAATAAAAAGAATATTGAATTGTTTGATTCGTCATATAATCAGAACCGACTTGTTAATAATGTTTGCAACCGTGTTTTTTTTGTGTTTTTCTTTCTTAACTAATAGGACACAAATTTAAATAATTCGACTGAACAATAACGAATGTCTGACAAAGGCTTCTTAACTATGTTTATTGTTGGGTTCATATAACTATTCTCTATCGACACACTAATTAAGATTAAATCGAGTAAAATATTTTTTCATATGGAAGAAACTTTGTAATAACGGAATAGAACTTCGTTGTCTTTTTATTAGAAAAAATAGTGCTACAATAAATACAGAGTCTACGAAGAATAGATGATTATAATCTATTGTAAATATAATGGTGAAAGGATACACGTGAAATATTATACAGATTCTTCTGATTGATCATGAATAAACGTTTTGCAAATATGAAAAAAAATATGTGCTGTCAAATAAATTGAGAATTTGTTTGTCATTTACTGAATTTCACGACTTTGCTGTTTTTTTTTATTTGCTCATTTTTTTCATTCTCTAAAGCGTCTGTCATTTTTTATTCCTGTAACTTGGTATTGTCAGAGAAAATTGCTAAAGAATCAATACCACTAAAGTGATAAATAACAATCAGCATGTCGACTGGAAGCAGAAAAGCAATGGTACTATGTCTCTTGCTTATAATGACAATGATGAAATCTTCTTCTGGAGAAATTTGTACATGTTCGTGCTGCACACCTTCTAGTTCCTGTACACCATCATACGTTGGCACGCTTACTGTTTCTTCATGCAGTAATGTTACGACATGTACAAATGCGTGTACGAGCAACTACCCCGTTTGTCAGACGGGATATGCAAGTGGTACTTGTGGCGCTACTTCTCTAAAGTATTTCTCACCGGTTGTAATATTAATTATTACTTTATTGTGCACAATTTGGACAAAGTAAAAAATAAGCATCTTGTTCTCATCATTGGACATATATGAAACATTTTTTTTTAATTGATTCTTAGTTTAGAAACTGAAGGAAACTTTAATATAATATCTGATTCGTCATTTCATTCTAACTTTAGTTGTGTGATTTAAAATACACAAATAAATTTTTCGAGCAAATTCTATTTAAATTACATGTTGAATATTGATTTAATTTCGCACTCTTTCTCTTTTCAGCACATTTTTCGTTGGCTTTTGGTTGTTAACATGAGACATACAATGCGAGACAAAGAAAAATAAAACATTCACATCAAGTAGAGCCTTTTTCAATTTTTATTCGATCAGCATATTTGCAATCATCAACCAAAAAGAAATTAAATCCTTAGAATATTAATAAAACTAGCTCCTATCAGATGACTTAGGCATTCTATTAACAGTTATTTCAATACTACACTTAGAATCAACTTCGGAGCTCAATTAACTTGAAAAAAAAACCATGTAGGTTATAAAGGCAGTCACATTATACCAAATTACAGTGACACTGACACCCCACACCTACACCCTGTTTCGTTGATTACAAGTTTCATAATATTAGAATCATCGATTTCAAAAATATTGAAACAATTGAATCAATTAGTATATGATGATAATCATTTTCCTATATAAAAA